GGTAGATATAGATAAAGTTATTTATTTGGATCTCTATGTATATATGAATATATCTATATCTATTGAGATTTAGCTATAGATGGCAGATATTAGATGTAGATAATAAATAGGTAGATATTTTATTTTAAGGGCCTGTAACTCGGCAGTGACATCTTAGGAGATGGACAACCTGCAGTAAGGGCTTGGGACACGCTCAGGAATCCACACGTGACCTTGAACTGGAAAATAAGCAGACGTGGCTCACTTGACTTCACCTAGTTTTCCCCAAGACCACTTCGTGAACTATCCTTTCACTTGTTTTTTTCTTTAAGGAACATTTTTCTCAAATTATAAAAGGGGTGCATGCTTAACTTGGGAAATAAAAGTCCGAAAGGAAAAATAAACCCCTTACTTCTGCCCCGTGCAAAAATAATAATTGTCAGTGTTGTCGTCTCTCCATCATGTTCCCTTATATAATTTCTTCACAGTAATACTGCCACCGCTTACGTACAGCTTACTACGTGCTAGACGTTGCTCTTAGCTCCCTGCATGTGTTAACTCGTTTCAGCTCCTCGACCCTTGGAGGGAGGTAGTATTACTTTCCCTGTTTACGGATGGGGAAACTGAGGCCCAAAGAAGTTAAATCACTTGCCCAAGGTCACAGAACCAGGCAGTTGGGCTCAAAGTCTGCAGCCTGCAGGCCTGCCCCTGCCCCCTGCCCTCTCCTGCCTCTGTGTCGTGATAAAGGGGATGCACCCGCTGTGCAGAGAACTCGGAAAGCACAAACACGCACGAAAGGGGAAAACGTCACCCGCCCGAGGAGAACAGCTGTCGGTACTTCGTGTCAATCGGCCCAGAATTTTCCCCATGCCTATATTTCCCACGCATCTACGCAGAGGCGGTCAGGTGATGTGGCCCCCTTGGTGACCACCATTTTTTACCCTTGAGTCTTTCCCATGTCAGTAAGTTTTCTTCCTCGATGTGATTTGAACGGCGGCATCCGATCCCCGGATTTGGTGTGTGTGTTTGACCCGCCATCACTGCTGGGCATCCGGCTGGTTGCACTCTGATAGACGGTGCCGGGTGAACACTCCTGCACACACAGCTTTGTGCCCATCTCTGAGGGTAAGGTGGAGTTGCTGGGTCAGAGGAGCGCACACTGGTAAGGCTCTAACCAAGCGCTCAAAGGCAGTGCTAGCGGGTGCCCCTGTCTGTGGCTCTGCACCTGTCACTTCTGAGACTCAGGCACTGCTAGGTGGAACCAGGGGTGGCTCCACAATTTGCAGGGTCCGGTGCAAAAGGAAGACGTGGGGCCCCTTGTTCGAAAAGCAGGACAAAAGCTTTCTCCTTTCTTCTGCGGTCTCCCTTGTGACCAGTCCTGGTGCTTTTTTTGCCTGTTTCATGCTGCTCCCTGGGCACAGGGATACTCATGGGACACACACAGACCCTCACAGGTGCCTGGGACCGTGTGATTTGGTGGGCAGGGTGCATGTGCCCAGGCCCCCATGGGGAGACGGTGATTGCTGGGCAGGGACGAGGGCGCAAGTGGCCAAGAACCATCCTGGGTGACCAGGGGGGTGAGAGGAGGTGGGACCCCATGTGACCCGAGGCTGCAAGACCCCCAGCACACGCTCCATTCTTCCATTCACTTTCGCTCCCACAACACAAATGCAAAAGACGAAATTATTAAGAATCTCAGGACAAACCCAGAGCATTAAACCCCAAGGGCAGGCCTGTCTGATGTGGGTCCCTGTGTGACTGTTGGCCCCAGATGGAATGACTGGAACTCTCACCAAAGAGGAACCTGAGAGGCTCACATTATTTCCATCCTCAATGCCTCAGTTCAAAAGCACATGTCACAGCAGAGTGCCCGTGCAAAAAGCACACCATCTGGACAGTCGGAATGGCCAAAGAAGGGCGGGGGAGGGGGCCTCGGTTAATCGTGGGTAACGCACCATAGCCCGATGGGTTGATGCGATATTATCCCCACTTTACAGATGAGGAGACTGAGGTTCTGACCTACTGCATGGCACATTGAATATCACACAGCTGGCAAGTGCAGGAACCAGGACGAGGGACCATGGCCACCATATGCCAGTGCCGAGTTAACCAGTTAACCAGCATGCTGGAAGCTTCCCCTGGCAGGGCTGCAAGCTGCTTTTCTTTGATGCTGCTGAGTTGGGTCTGATCTGCCTGGTGCCCAGGAGGTCTCGGCCAGCACTGAGGGGAGGCAGGGAGAGGTGTCAGCCAGGCCCCCCAGAATAGCTGGGCCTGGAATGGGCGGGACCCTGTGAGAACAGCTACTTGCAGCCAGCTCTCCCCAGCCAGGGAATTTCCAGGTTCCGGAGCCTCCTGGAGGAGGGAGGAGGAGGTGGGACCGGTTCTCTAAACACCCTGTTCTTCTCGCCAGAGGTTTGTTCTTGGCCAGCTTCCCTCCCGAAGGCTGAGTAATCTAGAAAAATCGCAGCCTGGCAAAAATGAGCGGGCCCAGGGGCCAACCCAGATCACGTCCACAGGCAGAATTCTTGGACCGCTCACTCCTCTAAGTTTGTAACTGTTTAGACCAGAGAACAAGAAGCAACAGATGCCTCCTGCGCACCAGACCAGCAAACGGGTGGAGCCATAGCAGGAGTCAGGCCCCAGTCCTTGGGTCGTCCTTAATCTCAGATTAAAGAAAAATTGCCACCTGCCATTCTCACCCCTCCCCCTTCCTCCTTCTCTCTCCTCCCCAATACTTTTCTCCCCAGCCCTGCCTGGATGGGAGCCCTGGCCTGGCTACTCCCCCAGCTGTGTGAACTGGACCAGCTACTTAGCTCTCTGCTGCCTCAGTTTCCCCACATCCAAATGGGATAGCACTTGCTTCTCTCTTGCAGTGTCGATGGAGAGTTACATGAATTAATACATGCCTACCGCTTCCAGCAGTGCCCAGTACATAAAGCTCCATGACTCCCGGCCTTTGCTGATGGTGCCTGACACGCTACCAGTTGGAGAGCTGTTCTCTGGCTGAAGGCTTGGCTTCCTGTTAAGATGGAGGTCGTTTGGAAATGGGCACTTTTCTACTAGTCATTTGTACTTTAGCATTCATCAGCTTCGGGCACTTGCTCAAGTTCCCCTGTGACTGGAGGGAAAGGACAGAGGTACGGAGGAGGGAGGGAAGCAGGTACAGGTATAGGATGGACGGGAGGAGGCTCCCTGTATGTCATGGTTTCACCTGGAGCAGACTGTCTTGGGGCCTGTCAGGTCAGAACCGCTGTCACCACTGACGTTCCTCACTAAGCTCGCGTTGCCCACCGCCTGACTCCTCCACACCACATCGGACCAACCATGTGCTTCTCTCTCTCTCTCTCTCTCTTTTTTTTTTCTTGAGGAAGATTGGCCCTGAGCTAACATCCATGACCATCTTCCTCTATTTTATATGTGGGATGCTGCCACAGCAGGGCATGATAAGCGGTGCATAGGTCTGTACCGGGCATCCAGACCGGCAAACCCTGGGAGAACACGAAGTTAACCACTGCGCCACTGGGCCGGCCCCCACCTGCTTCTCTTTTTGCCAAATGTTACAATGAGGGGCTTGCGATTTCAGAGTTGCAAACCGGGCTTGGGTCCGAGGCAGCAGGTAAGCCTGAGTGAGCCGTGTCTCTGGAATCTTCAAGTCTCTCCTGTGTAAAACTAGACGACATGGATAAAAGCCTTCACAGAATTGTTGGACACAAATGCAATTACTTGTCGGTTCGTTCACCGGTTACTGCCTGCCCTCCCCGATGAAATTCTTCTTTTTTTTTTTTTGAGGAAGATTAGCCCTGAGCTAACTACTGCCAGTCCTCCTCTTTTTGCTGAGGAAGACTGGCCCTGAGCTAACATCTGTGCCTGTCTTCCTCTACTTTATATGTGGGACGCCTCCCACAGCATGGCTTGCCAAGTGGTGCCACGTCCACACCCCGGGTCCATTGAGAACCCCGGGCCTCTGGGAAGCGGAATGTGCGCACTTAACTGCTGCGCCACCAGGCCGGCCCCTGAAATTCTAACTTAAAAGTCTCAGTGCCCTCGTATGCGACTGTGGAGGACCTGGGTCGTGTTCTCTGACTCCGGCATTTGGTGTCAGCCTTGGGTGGTCAAGCCCTCAGGCTGTAGAGCTATGCTATGCAAAACGGTCCCTACCGGCCAAATGTGGCCATTTCCATTTCAATCAGCTAAAATTACATAAAATGAAACATTGGCTTTCTCAGCTGCCCGAGCCACATTTCCAGTCCTCAGTGGCCACGTGAGGCTAGTGGCTGCCATGTTGGACAGCACAGATTGCAGAACATTTCCATCATTGCAGAAAGTTCCACAGAGTTCCTATGGCAGCACTTACTACACACCCAGCACTGCAGGACTTTGAGCAAGTTACTCATCTCCCTGAGCCTCAGTTTCCTCATCTGCAAAATGGGAGTTCATCTATTCAACATCAAATACTTCTTGAGTTCTGGCCATATGCCAGGTATTCCTTTAGGTGCTGGGGATATGGCACTGAACACAGGTAGACAAAATCATGGCCCCCAAGGAGCTGACCTTCTAGAAAACAGCACTCGTCTCCTAGAGCTGGTTTAAGGATTAAATGAAATAGAGCAGGAAAAGCATTTAATGTGGTGCCTGGCATGCTCTAGGTGCTTAATAAATGTCAGATGCTGTTTATCTGCCCAGCTCCCTTCTCCCACAGTCCTGTCACCTGGGATGGTAAACACATAACATACGTTCCCACACTTGCCATCCCGCACCCATGGCAGACATTGCTAATCAATCACAGCATACTTTCCCACTGAGCCCAGAGGTACCTATGGGATTCTCGGAGTAAAGTACCAGGCAGCACTCAGACACATTCCCTGAGAACTCACAGGCATCCTCTTCAGCATCACCTCTGAGTTCCCTACACACTGCCTGGCCCCCCATACCTGGATGCTGGGACCCCTTAGGTCCTGAGGAAGCTCTGACTCCAGCCCCAGGCCCCTCCTTTGGAGAAAGAGCGAACGCCCGGTCAGTACCTCGTCAGCTGAGTAGCTGGTCCTGTTCTGACCTCGTGCCAGGAGCTGGCTTCTTGCTGCGCTGCCTCTGGGAGTGGGATCTGGCTGTGATCTCACCAGGGCTGCCGGGGTCTCGAATCCTGTACCTCTCCTCTAGTCAAGAAAAATGGATTGTTTCTAGCCTGGGCAAACGGTCCTGGCCAAAAAGGGCTGAGTGAAGCCCGGCCCTGTGTCTGAGTGGGGGAGACAGACACGGGAACACGCAGTTGCAATCTGGTGAGATAAGGGGGCTGGCGGGGGCTGGCTGTGGCCGTGGGACCCAGGGGAGGGAGGAACACTGGAGCCCCGGGAGTCCGCTTCAGGAAGGAGGTGCCCATCCTGGACCGCCGTCTCCTCTATCAGCAGCCAGACCCTCGGAACTGCTTGTCCTAGCCCACTCTGTTCCCCAGGGCAGGGACTGACCAGGACGGCCGACCTGACTCAGCATGGCTGTCTTCTCTCTGGATCTTGTGTCATTTTGGTTTTGCTAGTTGCGTTCATTCAATCATTCACTCAGCACAGCATGCGGTAATGACACAGGGTATAAAGGGTCTGAGTTCAACTCTTACTTCGGCCACTTACCAGCTGTGTGACCTCGGGCACATTATCTAGCCTCTCTGTGCCTTGTATGCCTCCTTTGCGAAATGGGGTTTACCATAGAGCTTACCCCTGAGGGTCAAGGGTCATAGGGAGGATTTAGTGAGTTTTGCATGGAGAGGGCATCACAGGACTCTGGGCCACTGTCATAAGTGCCCAATCCTGGCTCACTGCGGCTGTCAGTCATATACGTGCGCCGGATCCCTGGAGATTTTTCTCTGTTACTCTGTTGGCATGGTGAAATCCATGAACTAATTTTTTTTCCAAATGCTAAGCTTTCCAGGCACCCAGGGGTAAAATTTCTCTGCTCATAACCTACATCTATGGGGCAGTGACGTTCGAGCTGCGTCTGAAAGGGTCAGTGGGAGATCACCAGGTAGACGGGAGGAAAGGGGGTCCCAGGCAGTGGGAACAGCGTGTGCAAAGGCTGTGGGAATGAAGCAGCAGATGGGGTCTAGGCGGAGCCCAGGCTGGCTGGAACACGGGGTGCTTGCAGGGAACAGTGGGAAATGGGGCCGACGAGAAAGACCTTGAACTCCATCGGATGGAAATCCTTCGGCACGGAGCTGGGGGTCTGGCACAGGCTGACTGTATTTTAAATTCCACAAGTACATGTTGAACTTTGGGAAGGCGAAGTTCGTGTATCCTGGCTCTTGGCCACACCCAATATATATTTGTTGTCTGTGTCAAAATTTCAGCCGCTTTGACGCTCCTTTTCCTATAACCTGCACTCTGCAAGTAGAAGATGCTGCCAGAGCCCCACGGGGTCCCGCCTGCTGTGAATATCTGGAATGCCTGCAAGGTTTCGGCCCCTCTCCTGGAGGGCAGCCTGTAACCACCGGCTGGCCAACAGCAGGGTATAAAGATCCGGCCCCTTGCCTCAAGGTCGAGGGGACAATTTTGTGGTTCTATTCATGCTCCAGGGCTCCTCCTGGGATCAAGCTGAGATGAGCCTTTGCTGGGCTTTCTCCCTGCCCTGTCCTGCTTCCTCAGCTTCTTCTAGGTTTCTTCTGAGAGCTCTCCTGCCATAGACGGCTGCAGGAGAACCCGGGTCTCAGGGTCCGCTTCTTGGACTCCCAGACCTGAGACCCACAGATGAACCAGAGAATGAAGGCGCAGGGCTGCGGGTGACAACTGCTGTTTTTGTCCTTTTCATGAAACAGTAGCCCCTGCCCCCTACCAATCCTTTTTCTCTTGGTCTAGGTTCCCCTGGAAGCAGACCCTGAGGCTAGGATTCAAGTTCCAGTAGCTAATTTGGAAAGTGCAGGAAGCACCCATTGGGAGGGGAAGTAAGACAGCAAAGGCAGGGGATCCCAATGGCACAGAGGAAGCCAGCCACTTCTGAGGGTGGCTGGAACTTTATACACGGGGGAGCTTTGCAAATAGTGGGAAACACCCCTTAGAGGTATCCCACCGGAGGGATGGGGGCGATGGGGTGTTACACGTCATTGCTGGCGTGTATTGGCTGATGGCTGCCCATCGGGGTTAACTGGCCTGCTTCCAGCCTGCTAGGCCAGTGGGCAGAGCATCTCCTGAGAATCGGGGGCAAAGCTCTCAGACCTACAGCTGCAGATACTGGCAGCAGTGATGAGGATTTTAGGCTGGTTACTTTTAAAATTGCAGATGAGAAGCAGGCTCTGAGGACTGGAATTTGCTTGCCCTTTGAGAGATATTTGCGTTTGTGAAGGAAGGGGGGATGACCTTGTAGGGACCTGAAATTGGCCACCCCAGGATATGTCTCTTTGACATCGGGATTGTTTGGGGCTGATTGCTTTCGATAAACTGGGACAGGGAGGGAGGCTCTGGGGGAATGGAACTTGCCCTTGTTGGGACACATTTACATTTGTAAGGTAAATCTCTATCTGTAAAAGGTGCCTCCCTCTCTGTACCAGGAAGAAGAAAGGAGATGACCTTATCCCTAGAAACTCTTAATGGGGAAGGCAAGAACTTAAGTTGGTTGCTGTCTGGCAATCTCATGTAACTGATTTAGGGTGGTGGCTTCTAACCTTTCTAACCTTTACTTAATCCGATTTGATTCTTGTCTAAAAGTCATGGGATCACCCAATGACCAGACCCCACCTGGACTGATACCATTTTAACTTTTTGTTCATGTTCTTTCCTTTGTCTTGTAAAGAGATGACTCACATACCCATGCCTTATAAAATTAGCCCTAACCCTCAACTCGGGGCAGCAGCAGGAGCTCTGACTGCCCGTGGGTCCTGTCCCCACGCACCAGCTCTGCCTGCTCATGGGTCCTGTCCCCATGCCAGCGGGGGCAGCAGAAGCGGAAGCAGCAGCAGCTCCTCCTGCCCATGGGCCCTGTCCCCACGCAGCAGCCTGACTGCCCATGGGTCCTGTCCCCATGCTGGCAGCAGCAGCTCTGACTGCCCATGGGCCCTGTCCCCATGCTATTCCACACTATTCTCTAAATAAAAGAGCACTACTGCCAGATCTTGAGAGTCCAAGAAATCTTTCTTTCGACTCCTCGGCTCACCGACCCCGCATCAGCAGCAGAAGTAAGGCCCAAGGAATATGTTTGGAACACAGACAGCAACCGCTGCACCTTCCTTTAGGGAACTATTCCTCCCCCCAAAGTCCTTTCCGAAAACCTCTGTTGAAGCTGCCTATCTGAGGCCCCCATACAGCCCCATCCACAAGTGTGGGCAAGTGACCCAAGTCTAACCAATCACAGCAGCTGATTCCTTGGCTGCAGTGATTGGTTCAAGGGGTGAACGTGTCATCCAAGCAGGGCCAATCAGATTCGTTCCCTGGGATTTTTATACCGTTGCTGGGAGAGAGAAGTTCTCTCTTTTCTCTGCCATTAGCTGGAGAGGATGTAAGCTCAAAATTCTCTGTGTGGAAGTAGCTTGTATGCCCTGGAAGCGTATGTGGCTGACACGCAGAGAAACAGAACTGAGAGATGAGAGAGACAGAGGGAGAGAGAAGGTGAAGATGGTGATGTTGAACCCCTGGACCCCTTGTACCTCTATTTTCTCTGGGTGGTTACATGTACCAGTCAATTCCTCATCTTTTTCCCCCCGAACTATTGGCTTAACCTGGTGTGATTTCTGTTTCTGTCCCTTGCAATAACCAAGTCCTAATTAATGCAGAGTCTCTTTATATTTTAATCCCTCAGACTCAGAAGTGGCAGCATTTCAGGGATGAAGACACATTTGTCGACCGAGAATCTTGGATTATGAGTCTGTGTACTCGAGGCCAGGCCATTCCCAAGCTCTTGGCTCCCGGAAGGCTGAGCTCAACTGGAAAGCTTCATATTTTTCTTTTCCAAGTTACATAATAAGTGTGATTCCAGGAAGTAGGAATGCAGGACGGGGGTGTGGAATAGGGAGTCAGAGGTGGCCAGTCCCGGGACATACCCTCAAGTCAGCTGATGCTGGGGCGACCGTGTGGTTGATCCCGTGGGACCTCCCGGGGAGCCCATGAAATGCACCTCAGACTGTCCACCTAGGAGACGGAAGGAGGACACATTTGTTTATCAGTTTCCACACCCTCATGGTTCAAGGGTGGCCCATGGGAGTTGACCCCACTGCCATCTTCTGGGTTGTGCAAGCATGAGTCCCTATGGGCTGTGTGGTATTGCATGCCATGGTGTCTGAGAAGTCTGGGGGCTGCAGGTGGGAGGTAGGTGGTCCTGGCCAGGGTCCCCCGTCATTTTGCTCTTGCACAAAACACCCGAGGCCAGTACAGAACTGCTGGCTGTGCCGTGACAGGAGTAAGAGGAAGGGACAGAGGATTGGAAGGGCCTGGGCCTCACAAAGTGACCATTTCTCATCTAACAGATGGAAGAGCACAGTCCACCCTTCCTGGGACTTTCTTGAATCAGGATGAAAACTGTAGAGTCGTCTCTGCCACACTCCTTGTCTGCCTTGTTGACCTTCAATGTCCTGCAAAGTCCCTTTTCTGGTCTAGGTGTCACCTTCTGGGCATCAAGAGGTCTGGTGGGCCTGGGTCTGAGTATCAGTTCCCTCTGACCCCCTTGGTGGGTTGGCACCAATGCTGCCCTGGTAGGCGTGTCCCCCCCCAGCCACCTCCTCTTGGGTCAGTCTCAGAGAATTCTTAACATTTTAAAGGAAAAAAGAATTCCCACCCTATTAATTAAATACAGCTTATGCCACCCACTGGCGAGAAGGTGGGCTGGTTATTCCCCATTTGCGTGCTCCCTAGATCCGTTCTCCACCTTCACTGTGTCCCGGAAGTCTGACCCTGATGGATGGCATCACCTGGATCCCTTCCCTGTGACTTTCTGTTGGTTTCGGCTGATGGGAGGGACCAGCAGGAGAGTGGAGGGCGGGAGTAGAGAGGTGGGGCATCTCTTCCCCTGCACGTTCCCTGCCTCGGGCTGAGCTTCCGTGAGGGGCCGCTTCCTTCCGTGACCGCAGCTTCTGCCAGGAGATCCTGCTACAGAGAAATTATTCTGACACTTGTCCAAGATGCAAGACGGACTTCATTCAAGACTGTGGCAATAGGGGAGAGAAGCTGAGCTCACCTCCGAATGTAGCAGAGGTAGCTTCA